GGGGGGGGGGGGGTGTTTAAGAAATGGGACATCACTTCTTTGAAACATCAGTTTCAGGTCTGTACTATTCACAATATCCTCCTGGCCAAGGAAAGCAATTTTCAGAAAAGCCATACCAAAAAAACACCAATTAAAGAATAATTACTTGTTTTGGTAGGTACTGATGGTCACGTGTGTAGAAAAGGAGATCCCAAGAGGAGTGTCAGCTTGGTGAATAGTCCCTCTTGGGAAGTACAGTAAGTCACCTGGCTGCAAGAAAATGAAAGAGAATTTATATATTTAGGGCACCTGGTCAAACCAGAGAAAATATTCTCTGAGCAGACTGACAACATAAGTTTTTAAAATCACAAAGTAAGAGATACCCTGCACTGTACACTTTATAACATAAAGCTCTCTAAGCCAGAAGTCCAATATTGTTCCAACTTATGACAATATTTACTGTACACCTATCTGAAAACATGAAGCTGTTAACATGAAGTTGTTAACATGAACATGAAGTTGTTAACATCATAGAACATGCACACTGACTCAGCTGCATAAAGGAGACAAAGAAACAGCTGAGATGAACCTGCTGACAATATAGCAGGCTAGCAGAAGAGCAGTGCAATGTGAATTTGCTCAGATTATGTCAAAAGAGAAGCCCAATATTCCACAAGAAAAGCCAAATATTCTATAAAGATTGCTACAATACTGTTGTCTGAATTTTCCAGTTAAAACACTTAAAAAACAAGTACAACATTCCTCCTCCCTATCTTTCTTCTCACCTATCTAAATTAAATCTGCACACTGATAAAAATTTAGATTAGGGAAGTCAAGATAACAGAGAAGTGAAAAGCACACAGAATTGCCTCCAAGAAGGAAAGATCAGTTTACTTATGGCTTCCCCTATAAACATCTATATAGTTAGATAGCACAGCCAAAGAGAAAATTCATAAAGCAACAGTGATGAAATTTGATTCCACTTTAATTTTACTGTTCCTTAAATTTGGTCACATCACCTATTTCTAAGAGCCTACCAAACTGTCTAACACAGATATATTTCAAGTGAATACTACTTGATTTTTTTACTGAACTTAAAGGTCTCTTTAGATTATGAGGCTTCACAGGATTTGGCAAGATCAAGTCTCTTCATCCATTTATAACAAGCTGTAAAGCAGCACAGATCAGCTATGTACAATTTACTTGTTCTGAGGCAAGCCTCTCTCTGCCGTTAATAAACTGCCTTCCTTACCAGCGCAGGGACTACACTAACTAAAAATATTTTGAACTCTCCTCATTTGCTGTTTCACATCCCCAGGAAGAAAACAAACTGGAAGGAGGGTCGCAGAGGGGAAGGGTAAGAGCCCTGAACACTTACCAGAGTGATGACAAACTAGTCTGCAAAAGAAACTATTTCATGCTGTAGCACCCCACGCCCACCACTAAGAAGCCAGTACTGTGATTTTCCAAAGCAGTCTGCTGCAAGGTCCAACTCTAATTCATCTTATTTGCTGGGTAGTCTCATAAACCCCGTTCAGATGAGCCAGCAAGCACAACACTCTTCAATTAAAATAATCAGACTCTTCACAGACTCCAGGTAGCAACACCCAGACTGGGATAGGACAGAGCATTTGAGAAGAGACAATGTAGATCTGATCACTTCCCTGCCTTCTTACTTCTGAACTGGAGGAAGGAGGGGCAGATGAGGGAGGAGTGCCATCAAATGAAATGGAAAATCAGATGTGAAAAAGGCTAGATAGCCAGCTACCAAACAAGCTCTGTACTTGGCATCAGTAACAAACCAGCCATGGCCACAGACTGTTGCAGTGTCACCACAACACACTGCAGCTTAGGACCTTACACAGAAAGCAGCATGCCCTTGCTCTCAGTCATCTACCAGTTATTGGTGCAAAGGGAGAACACCACCAATATAATCTCAAACTGGTCCATTTGTCCTAAACTGTCCAAGGATGGCAGACTGCAGACAGAAATACAAAAAAGGGGAAAGGAAATATTCTAGAAAGATGCTTAGAGATGAAGAGTCATCTATCAGCGTCCCTGTCAGAGGCAGTTCCAGACTGACAATCAAAATCTGACAGCAGCCACCTGGAAGAAATGCATCATGGGAAGTGAAGACTATCAAACAGAAGATAAATAAATTAAAAACTCAGACCACTTTTAAGCCCTTTTCAGAGGCCAGTATTTTCACTCTGCTAATGTCAGTAAAATGGCTTGTGAAATACATTATTATTCCATAAAAATCAAAGGCACTGAAGTCCAGTCCAAAATGTTTCAGAAATTAAAAAGGGAACTGTAATTTCCTAGACTATGCACCACCCAGTACATCATGACAACTGAATATTACCATCTGTTACACTACACAGCTAGTGATGTCAGCATCACATCCAGTGTGTCACACTATTCCTAAACTACCTACACCTAAAGGCAGGTCTGAACACTGGGAAGAACAGATACCCCACAGAGAGAGGCCCTATGACAGGCCACAGGCAGAGAAACTAATGAGGCTTCCAACACAGTGCAGCACTGTCTGCTGGAGAAGTAACACGCTTTGAAAGCGCAAGCATGTAAAACAGAACAGGACAAGGACCAGATGCCCTGCTGTCAAAGGGGCTGCATTCATTAATCTCCATGAAATGCTCTTTTTGTTCCAACTAACAGCCAAACACTTGATTTTCAGGTTTGGAAAAAGAAAAAAAAAAAATTGACAAAGCAAGTTAATAAGCGGTTTAGTTCATGCTTTTGTTCATCAGCCAAGGATAAATATTTAAATCTAATTCACCAGAACAGTGACAACCTTAGGTAAAACAGTAAGTCTTAGTGCACAGAAGGATTAGCCTGATTGAATACAGTCAGCATGTAAAAGCATAAAAATGTTTCATAACCATATATGAACCCAAGGATTCTTCTACACACAACTGCAAAAACATGACCCAGGAGTCACAGTGCCCAATCTGGGGAATACTGAAGAAATCCCTGAAATAATTGGTTTCTTGGTCCATTATTTAAATACTAAAGTGAAGGATACCTTTGAAAAAGAATAAGCTAGACAACTATCACCCAAACTTCCCGTGCTTACAGTGTTTTGTGCACCAACCCTCCCCTCAATTTCACAGCCACGATCATTCAGAATACTGTCTTCAAAAAATGGGCCATCTTGAAACATGACTACTCTTCTGGCAACCACAGTCCAGACCACGTAAAGCAATTCAGTTATAATACCTTTAATATGAATTCATGTGTGGGATTCCCAATCCGATCTTCTGGTTCAACATTATATTCCCGAGCTAAATGCACCGTTGGTTTATAGAGACGCCAATGTTTCTCGCCTTCTAGTTGAAGGATAAACACCTGCAAAAGACCATAAATCCAAACGCATAAGGAAGCCCTGCTGCACCTCACACATCCAACTGATCAGAAAGTTTAAGTCGTCTTTTTACTCGGAAAATCCGTGGACCCATGCCAGAAATCAGGGCGAGAAAGCACACAGAAGTGACACAGATTGCTTTTCTGACAACAGAAAAAAAGAGATTCTACCTTCTCTGCTCTAAGATGCTCCACAGCATGGCAAACAGGATTCCTCTCACATTACTTTTTAGATGTCTACAATGCAGAAACCTACATTTGAGATATTTCTTTAGGCTGTACTTAGAGAGAGGAGTGGTAAAGTGTGATCTGTTTTATCCAAAGATAGGCATTTGGAAATCCCCATTTCTCTCCAGTCACTTAAGTAAGTGCTAGACAACTAACTCAAAAGTAATGCCTGCCACACAGATAGTCAAAATATCAGGTGAGATCACCAACAAACAGAGCATCAAAAACCATGCAGGGAATGCTCTAAGCTGGGTGTTGATGACATACACCAGAACATGCAGGTTGTGGAGCTGCTGAAAAACAAGCATAAGGAAAATGAAACCCCAGATGTATTAAATGGAAATTAAAACAATAAAAAGCAAAAAATACATGTAAGGGTTTTTTTGTTTAAGTGGGGTAGCCCAATGCGGCGGGTGAAGGAAGCAAGCAGCCGATTCCATGTGAATGATAGAGCAAGCTTCAACTTTATTGAAAGAAATCACACCTTATATAAGCAGTCTACAATACACTACCTGTAACTCTATTGGATACATTTAAGAAACTACATTATAGTATCTCAGCCATTGGGTACATCTAAAAGGTCACATTATAATACCCCAGCCCCTTGTGGCATCTCTGGTATGCATAAACATCTTTCTTGCTGTGAACCTGCTTCTCTCCTAGGGCTGTTTTTCCTCTGACCCCCAAGGTCATAATGCGCCCCAACTTATCTCTGTGTTCTCACAACAATTCTCGCTAGCACAACTGAGCCTTGGGTCTTCATCCTTGTTTACATAACTGTACCCTGGGTTCTTTCCTTTGCTCACCTCAGGTGGCTGGGACCAACTTCTGCAGGGAGCTATGGCCGACCAGCTCCTGCAGGGAGCTATGGCCTTGCTCTCTGCAAGCTGTTCTCCAACATCCCAACTGTTTTTTTAATGCAGTGTCTATCTGAATGTTTCTTTTAGAAGCTAATTTAAAATGTATTTGGCCCACAGGACTTCATCATACCAGTAACTTCTTAAAAAGGAGGACCAAATGGGAGCCAGCACAGCCTGTCTACTGTCACTGTCCAGCTGAAGAAAAAGCAAGTACTTAGTAAAGGAAAAAGGACTCCTAGATTCTTGGGGGTCTAAATGAAGTGAAAATGGAAAAAAGGTGCTTCTGCAGCTGGGAAAACAAATTCTCTTTTCATCAAATGGAAATACCAGGAAAACACAGTTTATATGATATTACCATTAGATATTACTATTGGTACCTCTTCAGTAAAATTATAGAACAAAAACAACTATAAAAACCCACTTGCAACCAATTACTGTAAGTTTTCAATGGAAAAAAAAAATTCTATAACAAATTATGAGAGAAAGTGGGGAGAAAAGCACACATACCGGTACCCACTGCCACTAGCAAAAGCCCATGCACACTTTCACAGACAAGGTTGTGCTTTCCTACCTCAACATCATCGTAGTGGGGGGGAAGGCCCTGTGACCCCTGGGGAGTAATGTAAACATTCGATCCAACCAGAGACCCGAAGTAACACTCCAGCTTCTCCTGAATCTTCCACAGCTCCTCCTTCAAAAAGAAATGATGCTATTACTACCACAGAGCTCAGCCAAGCCAGGCTGCCGCCCAGCCCACAGCCTCCCCATTGCTTGGGATGATTTTCCTAGAGAATGATCACATGCCCCAGGGAGACAGAGGCTGGGAAGGCAGATGCTCTGCATGTGTCTCTCCTGAAAGCCAGCACTGTAGACACAAAGGAGATCTACCCTGAAGGTAGTTGGTAAGCCAAAACATCTGGTGCCCCAACAAAGCATTCATGTTTGTTCTCTTCCCTGTACCATTTTAAGGTTGCAAAAACAGACAAACAAGGCTAGAGGAAAATAAACCACCCATCATCCCACGAAGAGCAAAACATCCTAAGACAATAAACACATGCAGGACTTGCATTACATGGGCTAGCATCAAAGAGGGCATACAAAGGTTAGAGACCTTTTTCCAGCAACTCCAATTGTTTGGGCATATTCGAGAAAAAACTTTACTCATCCACATCTAACATGTGGCAGACAACGCCCTGAAGGGAATGACTCTCATATCTGAAGATGCCAACTACCAGAGCCGTGCAAGTACAACTTCAACCAGAATTTACGTAGATTCAGCTCAAGGTCTAGATTTCAACATAAGCCGGGCAACATTTCAACTTCACCTGCAGACGCCCCCGTCACTGGCCATTACGCCTACATTCGAACAGAGATCAGCCAGCAGCACTACACTTGGGACTCAGATTGTATTTGGGTCCCTACAGACCACTTCACAATTACATTGTGTTGACACCATGGGACAAAAAAAGGACTACCTAAATCCAGGTACCTACAAGTATCTGAGTCCTTTACATGAGTGTGCAGACACCACTGCCTCATTCTCATGCATGAAGATTGCAAAGACATCAAAGAGAACAAGAGAGAGGGGACTCTCGGCTCAAATGGGGTGGTACACTTCCATGGTGCAATTCAAAGCCAATCCATCCGTAAGAACAGTGTCCTGGAAACATTTTACGTGATTTCACACCTTGCCCTCCATTAAGGAAAGTGGTGCAAAAGTCCCTAGTTGTGCAAGGAAACAGCAGGGCAGAAGGGATGATTTAAGTAGACACAGATGCACAATCAGCAATGTTGTGCCTTTATTTATTCTAGACTTTTATGTGACAAAACAAATTTAAGAATACTGTTTTTAAAAAGAATATAAAACATATATTTTTTTTTAAATAGCTTTTATAGCTTTTAAAAATAACTAATCAGATTTTGTTCTTACTGCAGAGAACTGAAACATGATGGGCAGTGCAAAAGTATAAACCGAGTTTTAATTAACACAGTTCACGTATAGATTTCAGCAGGTTGTTGATGTCAGCTACTTCTCCTGGATTTACTGGGGACAGAGATGAAGCTACGTCTAGTATGACTCAAAGCAAAGTACACCACATTATAAAGCATGCATTAATTATATTCAATGAAACGATCCAACCTTAAATCTCTGAGGCTGATGAAACTGTATTGTCGCCTTTTTCTGGTCAAAATCCTTCTTCAGCTGCATGTAATTTACTTTGCCTTCTTTATTTAAAACTTTCTTTTTTCCATTCACACATCTGCAGATATTTATATCTCGCCCATAGTATAGACCCTGGCTGCACAGATCCTTTAAATCTGACAAGTGGAACAGGGACTGGTAGTAAGCAGCCAGCAGTGGATCACTCCTCTGAACAAGCAGTGGCTTTTGCTCCCAATACTCCCTGAAAAATGTCTCTTGCTTTATGGGAGAGATCAAGCTTCCGAAGAGGCTGTCTGGGTTCTCAAAACTCATAACCGATGGAGAAGAAGCTGCTTCCACCTTTGCCCGTTTACACTGTGCCTGCATTTCTTTTCCCATTTCAGCATGCTTCCCTCCTTTCTTGGGCATGTTCCTGTTCAAGAGGAGAGAGAAAAACAGTCAACCTGTAACAAGTCAACCTCAAGAGCTCACAGGCCCAGAGCAGCTCCTCTTGCCTTATCCAGAGTATGGTGGGAACAGCCCTGCTTTCAGATGCTCACTGTTTGCTCCAAGCAGCAGAAAAAAGAAAACCTACAGCAGCTTTTCAATCCTCTCTCAAACCTCAGCAAACTCCAAAGGGCTGAGCTGGGAGCCATTTCTCACAGAAGCTGAGTCCCACGGGTGAGCTTATACTAAAAAACATGCAATAAAACCCAATGGCCACACAACAGAGCCTTACAAATACAGGAATCCACCCACACAAAGAACCTGTGATAGACTGGTCTTCCAGAGGAAGAGTGGCAACTTATTTAAAAATTAACTCAGTTTTATGAGTGCTAATGGCAACATATAAAGGGGGTAGAGAGAGGGGAGAGGATCAGAAACTTGTACCCTATTACACGTGAACAAAAAACACAAGGAAAAGGAGCACAGAAAGAGGGGGGCAAATGAAAGAGTAGATTGCTGTGAGGGAAGAAGGAATATATAACCATGTTCAGTGGGCGAGGATGGTTTAATTGGCAACAGCTTCCAAAGAAGCAAAAAAACCCAGAGCAGACTGCCCTGCAGGTGAAGCAGGTTTTAGGAACACGAAGGGCACCTGCTTGAGGTCTCAGGTCCTGAAACAAGTCTGTGCTAAATCACATGGCAGTGCCAGGCATCTAGTGGTGTTCACCCAGGGGTCCACATCTCAGCCTCTGCTGTATCCTGAATGGCCACATTTAGAAAACCTAAGTTTTGGTAAGAGTGAGAACATTCTTGGGCCTTTCTATTGATGCCACGCAAGTACACTAAAACCTAAAATTTTAAGATTCTGCATTCTTTTCTGCAAAGCTGGCAAACTTTGTGGTTTATGTGGGGGAAAAAGAAAAAAAACCTCTTTCATCCAAGTACAGACATTTAATTTTACAGTTGGAAATAATTTTTTTTTCACGTAGGTAATATACTTGTGTACCATTATATAAAAAGTTAATTCACAAAGGATTTAGCTGCCAAGTTCTCTGGAAAGTTAAGGCAAAAACCAAGTAATGGTAGGTCTAACACCATAGTATGTGCAGATATACTTGCCTTAAGTCTGCACTAGCATTTCATCCCCCAGAGTAGTCCAGAGCGACAGGCAGCAGTAAAAGCCTGCCTGAGAAGCTAAGTATCCTGACAACGAGCCAATACCATGAGAGGTCTGGGCTGGCCAACTCAAACTGACTCTGAGCATGTCTGAACAGGTCTGTTAAGCCAACACATGAGGAGTTAGAACATGTTGATCCTTTCATTTCTAAGTAAAAATTACAGCTTTACTCCCAAAAGTAAATGCTCTCATTTATTAAGATGCTTTTACTTACACAGCTCTCTTATCATGAAACTTAAACTCCAGCTCTGGTATTTAAAGGCAATACTGTGCTCTCCTGTGCAGCAGCATGCAGGACACACTCGGTGATCCACCAACTCCTGGGCAGTGTTTCATCAGCAATTAACGTAAGAGCCTGTACCTAAACAGTAACCTACAGTCACCTTAGTCCTGCAGGAGGGAATCCCTATCACCACCTTCCTGAGAGGATGGACATTCCTGGCTGCAGCAAGCTACAGTTCCAAGGGAATGCTTAAAAAAAGACTTTAAATTAGTCCCCAGTTGCTAGCAACACCTGAAGATGCTGCTGACACAGAGATCTACAACTGACATCCCCAAATGCCAGCAACAGAAATGCAACCAAGCCTGCATTGCCAGCTTTGAATTCCAGACCCAAATCTATCATATTAACTCTTGGCTCACTCACACTGTATTTAACAAAGTTAAATTTCAGATATTCACAGAATGGGGCTTCATTTACACAATGTGCTGCTCTGTAGTGTTTTGTTAGTTATTACAACTGTAGAAACACAGAGTGGTATGGGCTGGAAGAGACCATCTAGTTCCAACCCGCCTGCCATGGGCAGGGACACCTTCCACTAGCCCAGGTTGCTCAAAGCCCCGTCCAGCCTGGCCTTGAGCACTGCCAGGGAGGGGGCAGCCACAGCTGCTCTGGGCAACCTCTGTCAGGGCCTCACCACCCTCATCAGAAAAATATTTCTTCTTTGTATCTAATATAAACCTACTCTCCTGTCAGTTTAAAACCATTGCCCCTGCCCCTACAGTCTCTGGTAAAAAGTCTCTCTCTCTCTTTTTTTACAGTATTTAAGGGCTTCAATAAGGTCTCCCCAGAGCCTTCTCTTCTCCAGGCTGAAGAACCCCAACTCTGTTAGCCTCTCTCCATAGAAGAGGGTTCCAACCCTCTGACTGCTGTTGAGACCCTCCTCTGGACCTGCTCCAACAGATCTGTGTCTGCCTTGTGCTGGGGGCTCAAGAGATGAGCACAGTGGTCCAGGCCAGGTCCAGGTGGGGTCTCACCAGAGCAAAGGGGTAGAACCCCTTCCCTCGACCTGCTGGCCACGCTGCTTTGGATGTGGCCCAGGATACTGAAAGGGCTCAAACAAATGAATTTCTGAAGACTAAACTGTGATGCGGGAAAGCTTTGCTTGTGTTTTACTTCGTTTGTTTCAAAGCTTTGTTTGTGTTTTTTTGTTTCCCAAGGACTCTTTCACTGTTTCCCTAGACCTCTTTGTTTAGACATGTAAGTCACTGATAGCAGACTCAAAGCCTTCAGTGGACACTTGGGCAACTCCTAGAATGGGCAAACTAAGATAAGGGAGACTGGAAAAAAAGGACACAGAGATCCTATTATAGGTAGGATGATCTTGCTGATTTAGGAAGAAGACACCTGGACTTTACTTCACAGCACATGCTCTAGAAAGATCAACTACCATGAAGATGACTACTTCTTTTGACAACCACCGAAGACCCCCACTTTATTTTTACTACATATGTTCAGATTATGTAAATGAAATCTGGGAATTCATTATCATAAGACACACCTTTCCAGGAAATCTAATAAATAGGTATAATTAACGTGTATGTAAACTGATGTCCCTTGCTAGTTCTTGGGATGTGGAGAATACCCAGGGCAATCCCAGCACTGCTAATCAAGAATACCTGCTTAACACTGATATTGGATTCTGACTGTTGAGTGAATTTCTTCGTTTCAGTACGGCTGGCTTTCTGAGCTGCAAGCACACGTTGCCGGCTCACGTCCACTTTTTCATCTACCAACAGCCTCACGTCCTTCTCTGCAGGAGAAAAGAAAAAAAAAACATAGTAACAGAATAGACCTGTTCCTGCTTCACACAGAACAGTTATTTCCCACCAGTTTTTCCACTCGCACACCAGGTGCGCTCCTTTGTGAGCTCAGGCCTCTAAACTGACCCAGCAACTACAGGGGCGCTGGGCTCCTGCTGCAGCAAGGGGGGAGAAATACGGCCACAGCGGTTCTGAGCCCACAGCCCCCCCTGCTCCCCTCACTAGCCTGCTATTAAACTTTTCCCGGCAGGGAAAATGGCAGAGAAGCGTGCTGCAGCGGCCTACGCCCCTCGGCCCCGGGGCCGCGGCCTGCCAGGAGTGCCGGCGCCTCAGCCGTGTCACTCAACTTTCA